GCCTCTCCATCCCCACCCCCTGCCTCGAGGACGCGAGATTACAGAGAGCGGAGCTGCGGCGGCCATCCAAGCGCACGGCTATCCCGCGCAGCCCTGCCTGCATGCCCAGGCGGCTCCGCACAGGCAGCCCTGCTCTAATCTCCAGACCCCAGACCCCGCCATACATGCGGCTGCAGAGAAGCTATTTCAGGCCATGCGTGGAGCCTGGCTTTAACAACAGCCGACTGCCACTGCCCAGAGCTATTCCAGGAAAGCCCGGAAGCAGAGGGTATAATCTGCAGGGGAAAGGACTACATCCCTCTAATTCCACTCCCCCCATGCCCACCCCCTTTGCTGCATTGTATTTCAGCAATCCCGCAGGCACCCAGGACATGGGTTATTTTAGCGCAGGACATGCCACTATGTCCACACTTAGGCATTAGCACCCTGCAATGCTCCCTGTCCCGCGCAGGGGTGGGTGTTTATGGACATCCTAAGTCTGCCCTGGGTGCAGGCATGAGCCCTCTGGGGCTTCGCAAACCCCATCCCATCTGCTCCAACTCCCTTCGGCACCTCTTCACTCAGCACCCCACTCTCAAGGGCAGCGGAAGCACCCACGTGTGGACACCCAGATCCATGACAGCTGTTTTCCTGCCAGAAGAGCATCCTCGTGACTGTCAGCCGGCACCCCACATCAACCGTGCACGCCCCCGTCCCTCCTCCCTGTGGCTGTGATGCCACCTGCTCTGCTGGCAACGTGGCCCTGCCACAGGCCCGGGCTCAGCAACCGCCACCGGAACAAAGTCCAATGTCGGAGCGTGGCATCAGGGCAGCTCTCAGGGAGGCCGGAGCTGCTGCAGGCGCAGTGACACAGAGGACAGCCGGGACCAGCTCGTACGGAGATGGCTTGGGACCAGAGTAACAGGCACAGACTTGAAGCCCCAGCTGTTGGCAGAACCGTGGGCTTTTTGGGGCGCTTGGGACCTCACCTGGGTGAGATAGGGTGTCAGCATGTCCTGCCCTGCAAACCTCATGCCAAGGGACACCCAAAGCTGACTGGAAGGCTGTGACACATCAGGTAGGGATGCGGGGTGCTACAGGCGGCTCTTACCAAGGCATCAGGCGGCCAAAGCGGGTCCATGATGTTTTGCTGATGAAGAAGCCCACCATGGGGTCTGTGATGGCATCCCAGGCTCTCCCCACAAACAGGATGATGGAGGCATAGAAAGGGTCCAGCTGCAGGAAGAAGATCTTGTGTCAGGACACGCAAAGCCCTGTGCCCCCGGCTGCCCTTCCTGAGCTCCTCAAGACCTTCCCAACTGTACTGCAACCCCACTGCCATTTGGGAGCGGGGGACGGATCCCTCACCTTTCCCCCTCGTTCAGTGGGATTTGAGGCACGGTGACCCAGACCCTCCCAGCGCCGCCCCACCACGCTCTTTCCACACCAAACTCCTGCCGCCTTGGAGCGGGTCTCCCCCAAACCCACCCTACAGCCAGCATGGGTGCCCCACGGGCACTCCTCCCTCCCCATTTCACGCAGACCCAGAACACTGCGGGTTCGTGGGACAGATCCTGTGTCCCCCCGGACACCGCAAGCCCGTTTCGTAGCCTGAGCGGAGGCACGGAGCGACCACACGGAGCGTGGGGCCGGCCTGGTGGAAACCCACAGCCTTCGGACCGGCGCCCGCGCAGGACCGCGACTCTTCGTGACCGACACCCGCTCCCTTACCCCCC